ACGGATGATCAGTTTAAGTGTCTCATTTTCGTCAGTGCTCTACAATCGCCCAGTGATGCTGAGATTCGAACGCGGCTTTTAGCTAAGCTAGAGCAGGACCCTGATCTGACATTGAAGGCCCTAGTTAGCGAATGCAAACGACTGCTCACTCTAAAACACGACACTGCCCTGGTCGAACGCAGTGGTCTAGCATCACCAGATACGGTGCAACTTGTGAAAAAAGCCAGGACCGGCAACGCAAGCAGACCCTTCAAGAGGCCTACGAAGAAACCGCCCACAGCATGCTGGTCATGCGGCGAATGGCATTTCGCTCGCTTTTGTCCCTTCAAACATCATATTTGTCGGACGTGCCATAAGCGTGGGCATAAGGAGGAATGCTGCAGTCAAGTCCGGTCGAAGAAAGTGCAGAAGTCTCACCGAAGGGTTAATTCTAGAAGGGGCGGCGCTGAATCTCTCTCCATAGTCGCCGCATTCCAAAGCGAGTGTAAAGCGAGACGACGATTCATCACTGTATTAATCAATGGTATCCCAACGAAACTGCAATTTGACACGGCCTCAGACATCACCATCATTTCCAGGCGCACATGGAATCACATAAAGAGGCCGAAGATGGTCGACTCCCAGAAAGTTGCACATAATGCATCCGGCGGTGTGTTAAACTTAGTCGGCGAACTCAATTGCAAGATTGCTTTCCAAGGTGTGGAGAAGTCGGGAACATGCTACATTTCGGACCGGCCGAATTTGAATCTTCTTGGCCTCGACTGGATTGAAAAGTTGAACCTCCTCGATGTTCCCTTGAATCAGATCTGCAACCGAGTTCGAGCAAGTCCAGACCCATCTGCAAAGTCCGTCGAAGACATGACACGTACCCTGAAGCGAAAGTTTGCTTCTGTCTTTCAGGATGGCTTGGGCCACTGTACGAAATTCAAGGCAACTCTGAACTTGCGACCAGGCGCTAAACCAGTGTTCAAGGCTAAAAGACCGGTACCATATGCAGCCATGTCAACCGTTGAGCAAGAGCTCGATCGACTGGAACGTGCCGGAGTCATCACAGCAGTCAACTACTCATCATGGGCCGCACCTATTGTCGCAGTGAAGAAAGCAAATGGCAAGGTGCGCGTTTGCGCTGACTTCTCAACTGGCCTCAACGCCGCGCTGGACGACCACCAGTACCCCTTACCTGTACCGGAGGATATCTTTGCAAAGTTGAATGGTGGTAAGTACTTTGCTAAGCTTGATCTATCCGACGCTTATCTGCAAGTGGATGTTGACGAAGACTCGAGGGAGTTGTTGACGATCAACACTCATCGTGGGTTATTCCAATACAACCGCTTGCCATTTGGTGTGAAAACGGCGCCAGCCATCTTCCAACAGTTGATGGACACCATGCTAGCGGGAGTTTCTGGAACCGCTGCATATCTGGACGATATCATAGTGATGGGTCGAACACCGGAAGAACTCTTCAATCGCTTGGATGAAGTGCTTGGTTGCATACAGTCGTACGGCTTCCGGATCCGTGAGGATAAATGCACCTTTTTCACGCCGCTCATCAAATACCTCGGGTTTATCCTCGAAAGGGATGGACGTCGACCAGATCCGGAAAACATCGAAGCCATTAGAAAAATGCCTCCACCCACAGATCTACAGTCCTTGCGTACCTTTTGTGGGCTCATCAGCCACTACAGCGCATTTTTGCCTGAGATGCACCGCATGCGTGCCCCGTTAAACAAGCTACTAGCCAAAAAACAACCTTGGAACTGGACAGCAGAATGTCAGAATGCCTTCGAACGCGTCAAGTCACTGTTGTCTTCAAACTTGCTTTTGACACATTTCGATCCCTCCAAAGAGATCGTCCTAACCACAGATGCATCAAGCCATGGGATTGGTGCAGTAATTGCACACACGTACACCGATGGATCTCAAAAAGCAATCGCCCATGCTGCCAGAACCCTTACGAAAGCCGAGAAGAACTACAGTCAGATTGAGAAAGAAGCGTTGGCCATAGTGTACGCGGTTAAGAAATTCCACAAAATGCTATACGGCCGCCGTTTCAAGCTTCTGACAGATCACAAACCCTTGCTCGCTATCTTTGGTTCGAAAAAGGGCATCCCGGCCTACACAGCCAACAGGCTACAACGTTGGGCCCTTACCTTAATGGGGTATGATTTCGAGATCCAATATCAGTCGACAGTTTCCATTGGCCAAGCAGATGCACTGTCACGCCTAATTGATACCCGTCAGCAAGAACATGAAGACACAATCATTGCCTCGGTGGAGATTGAACCAGACGTCAACTTTCTGGTAACTGATGCACTGCACTGTCTACCAGTTACCGCAGAAGATGTACGGACCGAAACACTTCGGGACCCAATACTCAAGAAGGTTACACAGTTCCACAAAACAAGTTGAAAGGGTTCATGTCCATCTGCCAAGTTGCAATAGTACCTTCAAAGGAGACACTCGCTCTCTATTGTAAACGACTGCATACTATTTTCGGAAAGAGTGGTCATCCCCAAGGCACTTCAGGAGCGCCTTATTCGGCAGTTTCACGCCGGGCATCCTGGAATCAACTGGATGAAGGCGCTTGCCCGCAGTTATGTATACTGGCCCTTCATGGACAAACAGCTAGAAGAAATAGCCAGACGCTGCCAAAAGTGTGCCGATGTCTTGAAAGCGCCACCGAAAGCAGAACTCTGTTCATGGCCAATAGCTACTAAGCCGTGGTCCCGCATTCATGTCGACTTTGCAGGGCCGATCAACGAGAGAAGTTTCCTCATTATAGTCGACTCATATAGCAAGTGGCCAGAAGTATTTCTCACGGATAACACAACCACCAATGCCACCATATCGAAACTGCGCCAAGCCTTTAGCAGATTCGGCTGTCCTGAGACAATGGTCACTGACAATGGCTCACAGTTTACTTCAGCAGCGTTTAAGGAGTTTTGCAAGCAATGCGCCGTCCAGCACGTTCGCTCGCCGCCGTTTCACCCACAGTCGAATGGCCAGGCAGAAAGATTTGTCGATACATTCAAGCGAGCTCTGCACAAATCAAAAGGGGAGGGACGTATAGAGGAGGTGGTTGACCGGTTCCTTTTCCTCTACCGATCAACACCGAATCCACAAGCGCCAGACGGAGTCTCTCCAGCACAGGCCATGATCAACCGGAAGCTCCGCATGCCTTTCGACGCCATCCGACCGGGCTCGGAGTCCTCTGTTGGTGAAAGAAACCGCAGAATGGAACAGGAGTTTAACCGGCGGCATGGAGCAAAGAAGCGATCATTCACGCTTGGACAGAAGGTGCTAGTACGTGACTACCGGGAAGGCCATGCGAAATGGACGCCAGGGACGGTCAAAAGCAAGCGCGGAAACGTCATGTACGGCGTGAAGGTGGGCGCACAGGTCTGGCCCCGGCATGCAAACCAGTTACGTCCCACATTGTGCCAGCCAGAACAAGAAAGGCCTACTGACCTCCCGTTCGATCTACTGGTGGAAACTTTCAACCTGCCGAAGGTAACATTGGACGACTGCACAAGGTCGAGCAACGAATCCAGAACAAGAACATCGGAACAAAGTTCTCGGGCGCTTCTGCCAAGGAGGTGGACCGACAGGCAGAGAACACCGTCCCGAAGACTGCAAGTTAATCCCAGGCTTTCCTCTTACACCTCGGAACATATCTCAGGAGGGGAGGTGTCCGGGAGAAAGTAAGAATTGCCTAGGAAATTCCCTATTTTAGCGATTAATCGATTATTAACGATTATCGCATCGATTTCGAACGTTCCTGAATGTTCTTCTTCTACACGTGATCAAAATCCACCTGACCTCTCGGAAAAAGATATGGGGAACCACTAACCTTGGCAGCTGACCTTCCAATTCTAGAAGTCGAAGGTCAGCAGAGACCTATAAATACAGCCAGGGTCCTCAGTCGTTGTACAGTGTTCGTTGGCTGCGATTAATACGTTATTTGTCAGGGTCATTGGCGTTCTGCTTTTTTTCCTTCGGTTGGGCTAGAAGTTTTGTGGAGCAGTGAATTGTTATTTTTGGAGTTGCGTCTAGTGAGAAGATTATAACAGTTACCGAACTATAGCATCAGCGGCAAACGGCTTCACGAACTCTTACGCAAAAATCAACCATAGAATCAGAACAGAGTACAGTACAGTGGTTGCATTCGTAAAACGCTACGTCCAGGTCGGGCGGCCAGAAAATAAAGCCAAGGAACTCATGTCTTTTTGTAACAGACTGACTGAAATAAGTCTCTATAACGGACGGATTGCAACCCCAAAGAAGTTACGATTAGCTATCCTGGATGGATTGCATGATGCATACCCCGGATTCGCTAGCCTTATACAAAGTATAGTAGTTTGGTTTAGTTGGGGACATTGCGTCAAAAGTTGGGACTTGCGTGATTTGTCAAGAAAAGCAGAACTCGAATAACTGTCATACTACACAGCTGCATTTGCTGATTTCTACTTGGCGTAACAAAGGGATATATGGCTGTTATGAAAAAAGTGCACATAAATAAGTGGCCAACGGAAAATAATATCCGCTAAGCAGATAGAGACGACGCGAAACGTTAGCAGTCTGAGTACGTCCTCGATCACGCGAAGATGAGGACGGAACGAGGGTATTTAGCCGAATAAATAACTATATATATTTATATTGCAGTAAAAACGAATCATGTAGACTTGCAGTATTTTGTGAGATCAACTTTTACTCTTGTTTATTTCGGCCGGTCGTTTATTTGTTGAACTGATTGTACGGACCGATCACCTCCTCACGTCAGTTACGCTGCCCAGAGCTGTCTGCCTCTTCTTATCTGCTCTCCATACCCTGTAGCCTTTGTCAGTACATGTTTGGTCAAGACGACCTAACTGTTCTCCCTACCTCCGTACTCTGCACGTCTCTTACGGACCACCTCCTACGACTAGCATCTGAGTAGTACCCATATATATATATACATATATATATATATATATATATATATATATATATATATATATATATATATATAGCGTGCAAAAAGTATCTCATCCAATTGAAAAGTCAGCGGTCAGGTGGTAATAGAAATGAAATGTCAAAAAGGCACAGCAGGGCGGTACCAAGTATACCCGTTACTCATTTGGCGAAGAAAGAAGATACAAGTTGCTGGCGAGCCCAAGGATCATCTGAATGTGTCAAAAGGGGTTCTAAAGAAAAGGGAAATGGTACACATATACATCTTTGCTACTCGTCAATAATAGATGCACAGAAACGCGCAAATAAACATGGTGATGAAAAGCAAACTGTTGACTAGAAGACATTGTATTCCGAATCGGTGTATCAGCTCCAGTATTGGTGAAGCCGTGAGAACTGCGGTAGCTGAGTAGCAGTCTGGGGATTCGGTGGCACATGCGGATGATGGTCAGAAGTTGGCATTCCCTGGTAAGCAGTGGGAGTTGGTTGTTGGTGCATCAGCTGCACCGGCATATGGTCAGGGGCTAATCGCTGTTGTGGTTGAACATGAGGAATCGGCTGAACATTCTGCTGCGGTAGATTTTGATGAGAGGGATGGTGGTGCACAGGACGAGAAACCGGAAGGGTGGATGAGGCCGTAGATCCGCCTATTCGAGTGAACAACTCCTCTCTTGTGTTATCCCCAGTGGAAACAAAACCCTCGTTGGAGTCAAGCTGGAAGGTATGCTGCTGGTGCGCGTGACCAGCGATAGGGTCATTGGGGTGCTGAGCAATCGGGTATGGAGGAGGATTAGGAACGACCTGTTGCTTAGTTTGGTGTGATGAGGTACACGGATGCATTCCCGCAGGATTCCTTTGCAAAGACAGTTGGGGCACATAACGCTGAACTCCCGGTCCCGTACTTAGTTGCCTATTACTGTGCGGCAATGAATCCGCGAGATGTGAACCGAGACCCCTAGATTGAGCATCCCCGACGACTGCATAAGTATTTGCATTGCGTACTGAGGATGGATATGCAATTGTTAACCCACCATCAGAGTGCTGGTTGCTGAGTGTTTCGTATCCCGTGTCAAAAGCATGGGTAGCGTGGGGTTCGCATGAACGGAAAACGGTCTGGTTACCAACAACATTGGAATACGAAGAGTGAACCTGTTGTCGCTGTTGAACAACAGACGTAGACGCCCTTTGTTGTTGTTGAGCACGACTACGAATAAAACCACGGACGCTCGTCATAGGTGTAGAGATGCGACCATAGTGTGGGTCTGTGCTACCCTTGTCATAGGAAGGTACCTTATTGTGCCATACGGTCCCACCACCTCTATCACTGCGCGAGGAAGAGTCAAGAGTGTAGTCCGAGCCTGAATGTTGCAGTGAAGAAGCCTGATAATCGACCATTTGGCCTGGAGGTGCCTTTGAATTGAGAGAACAAGAACTATCGGTGCGAAGAGAGGAGTCTTGAGTCATAACAGTAGCGGCGTTGACTCGTTGGCTAACTGCTACCGACATTCCACGATCAGTTGGGGCAGAACCACGGCGGCTGGGTCCTCGTTTTCGCTTGGTTGCTGGGGCTGCTCCTGATCCTGCTAAGTCGGAATTTGTCACTGATGTGATCAAGTGATCACTTGGATACTTGTTTGTGAAGCGTGTTGCCTTCACAGCTTGCAACGGTGGAAGCGCGGCTCCTATATTACCGTCGTATGTTCGATCGACAAAGTTAGCAGGCCGTCTTCTGCGAGAATGATCCAAAGAAGGTAGGGGACCACCGTTGTACCCACCATCTTGTTGAAAAGAAGATGCTGAATGCTGGGAACCTTGGAGATGTCTTTGAACGACAGGGATCTGAGTTCTTCCTAACTGGGAGGTGGTAGAAGACGACGACAGAGCTGGGGGATAGCACGACTGCGTTTGTCTGAGATCGAACGAGCTTGGATGGGAATCATCAGCGTCTCGTAGGTTATCAGATGTAGCGAACTCCTGACCGATGGGCAAGTTTGTCTGTTGGTCCTCGTACGCCAATGAATCACTTGTTGCTTTATCAGGTCTACACAAGCCATCAGAGTAGATACGAGAGTTGAGTGGATTTGATGAGCTAGTGCCCGTTGTATACATGATATTGCTCGTGGGAAGATTGAAAACCGCTGGATTACCGGAAGTAGTACGTGCGCAAGAAGCAGAAACAACTGAGCCCTTGCTGGACACGTTTGAATCAATCATGGTTGCTTGCGTGACAGAAGAGTCCAGCGCTTGCGATTTACCACCGGCAATTTCACCCCTCTCCATATACACCGGAGTCAAGTAAAAATCTGGTGAACGACGGAACAAAACAAAATGATCGTGTCTAATTAAACGATTAGCTTGCTCTTCCACTCGTGAAGGAACTGCTTCGATGTAGGTCGCTCCGTGCATCGACAGGAGCACCGATTGTTTGGCAGGATCTGTGGCATCCCAGGGCGCTAGACGTTCTTTGGCGATAACAGTTAATCCACGCTTTTTCGCGTGACCACGAGGTCCACTAGAGTGAGAACCACCTCTGGATCCTGGATGACCATTTCCAGATTTACCAGGACCCTTGGAATTACTCGCTTTCCCGGGTCCACCGGATTTGGTTGAGCCGGCGCCCACTCCACTGGTCACAGAAGCAGCGCCTGCGGCAGCAATACTCGTCTGGTGTGATGTCCGTCCCGTTACGATCACGGTGTAAGCTATCTTCAATGGGGGCAACAATGGCTTAATCTGCTCAATCCCATGGCTTGGAGGTCTCTCAGATAATTCACGACGAACTCGTTTCACAAAATTCTGGTAATGCTTTCCCTCGAGATCCGACTTAGCTGCTAACGTATGAACCAGAACCTGAAGCATATCATACACTGTAGTGAACAATGTGCCACTGGATTCTGGTTCAGTGACTCCGTGGCTTATCAACTGGGTTAGCAGAAGCGCCCAGCGTAAAGAGGCTTCTAAATCTGTCTGCAATGCTCGAAAACGTTGCCCGACGAGGGCTAACCGGAGTCTCAAACATTCTTGTCCTACCTGACGAGTACGCAAGTTGTCTGGAACTCGGTCCTCTGTCTCGCGGGCGTTTTCGACAAAGTAATCAATTTGTTCGTACAAAGAATCCAGAGGATCAGCTTCAGCCACGCAAATCCGAAGGAGTGAGAAGAAGGCCGGATGCGCCAATATGACAGAGTTTTGAAGTAGTACACTCTCCTTATCCTCATCGTTTTTGTGTTTCCAAAAATGTCGGATACCTTTGAGGGTCTAAAGGGACAAAACGAAAAGGTGAATAAACACAACATTGAAACGGACATCGGCAACCGTATCAAGAGAAATAAAAGCTATGAGACGTAAATGGAACGGGAGCTATGGAAGAGTTTGCAAGCTGGTAGCGATCAGGAGAGTAAACTAAGCACTCATAAGGACAGGTAGGAGGAATACAATTTCAATACCACAGAAGACACTGCTGAGTAGTCTAATTGGATGCAAGACTGTCAGTAGGCTTCAAGCCAAAGCACACGCTGAATTTCGCAAGTGGGCTGCAAACATTGCATCGCCAAACGAGGTGACTTTGGCAGAGAATACCGATAGATAGTGTTTCGTATAAATATTGGTCTTTACATCTGTTTTAAGCACCAGTAGACAATGGCACTTCCAAATGCATTAGCATCATCATCATCAATCCACGATAGCTAATGTGCCACAGTACAAAGAGATAAGATAATAAACCTTAAAGACTACAAAAAAATAAAAAAGCAAGTAATATAATGTTAAGTGTAATATTTTGCAACGGGTATGTGGTTGCGGTTGGAGAGGGAAGCTAAAGGGGGAGGGGTAAAGGAACTGTTGAACAACAGACTATCTGCTGCTGTGGCCTTATTCAATTTCCACGGTCAGAGTTCACGTTCGACAATTGCGCGTGAGGGCGGATGCAAGGGGAGAGCCCAGGGAGAAGAGTAATGAATAAGCGAAAAGGAAGATGACAACCCAAGTTACTTAAACTGCATTTCAAAGTGCTCAGCCCAATGCTCCAAGAGTTTCGACGAGCTGTGGATCGGCTGTCCAATCGCGTCGCATATATTCTCTCTAACACCAGGGCTTCTGCTGCCCGTTTCTCGTACCCGAGGAAACAACTTACGATGGTTACCAAAGATAACGGCTGTTTCCAACTCCGAAGCACGATGAGACTACCAGGCTTCCCGGTCAAGCTTCAAGCCAACACGCAGTATGCCCTGAGGTCATTGTGTTCGCTTTCAGCCGTAAGGTGTCTGAGAGCATCCCGAAGATTCAGAGATGGCGTAGAGACCCAAAGCACAGGTTAGTGATTTGATTTTCCACATGAGGACATAGCTGGTGCTAATAACCTCTAGCGGATATGCGACCAGCGACTTTCAGCTGTGTTCAATGGACGTTTACTACGCCCGGATGTCAGCGAAAGCTGATACGCTTTAAGAACACCTGACCTCGCCAATTGGCTGATGTCGATGCGCTCAGAGCGTCGCTGTAGAAGTCCGCCGAAATGCACACGCATATCGACGGACACAAGAGCGTGATCAGAGTCCATGCTCGCGCCCAAAGTCCAGCGACAGTTTGGGACGCAGCCTCTCTATCGGTAAGTGAAAGCGATGTGATAGATTCGCGTCTATGGCTTCTCTGAGGTTGACGGCAGCACGTCACTCTTCTGCGGGTGCTGCGTAGAAAATTAGTGCTCGCTAGAAATAGACGAGCATTTTGACAAAGGTGCAGTAATCGCACACCGTTATCATTATGGGAGCCGACATTGTGCTGGCTGCACACGGCTTTCGTGTAAGAGCTCGGTGTACTCTCATGTTGCGATCTAAAGTCTATGGACAACACGGATAGGATTTACTAAAACGGACATCGTATGATTTCATTTCGGCCTACGTAACCGGGTAGTACCTCGCCAACTGACGAACCATGGAAACACACTCACGCTCGTACGAGGTTCTACGTTCCTGCTATTGCACCAGCTTTAGTTACACGCCACCCAAGTACCTATCTTCCCTTCGCATTATTCACCCACTTCATTACCTGATTCCTCGACGGTGAACAACTCTGTTTCCACCGGTCAATTCGTCCCATTATCATCCGCCAACTCAGCCACGAAGTGATTCATAGGGAACCATCAGCCACATGGTCTCCTATAATCGTTTCTGCAACCTGAAACTCGGTTCAAGCTAGTAACATTAAATGAGCGCACTCTACTGCTAATTGGATAATAAGCGAGACTGGCACGCACCTTGGAAACCCTTGCAATTGAAGTCTGCTGCCTGAGTGAGACACGACTAGCTATCGTCACCAATCCACGACTCCAGGATTCCAACATAGACTACCAGCTGACGTGAAAAACTTCACACACACACACCCTTGTCCATCTCCACTGTTCTGGTGACGCCGTCTGTCGCACCTGGACAAGCTGATGTTGGGATCGCCCTCCATGCAAGAGCCGTGGCCACCATCCTTCGGTAAATTCCAATCAAGCGCCTTTGTGCCATGAAGCTTCGTCGAACTTACAAGGTTGGCAAATGTCGCGCCGACAAGTGTGCTCTTTTGTGATCTACGCCTACGCGCCCAATGACTGCAGGTCCGATATAGTTAGGGACCAGTTTTATCAACACCTTATTGAACTGTTCCTAAGGGCGTCTAAAACAGACATCATTGTCATGGCAGGAGACTTCAACTCAAGTGTCCGTCCGTTGCTACCATGTGCATGCCACCTTGGATGACTGCATTGGTATAATGAGATTCGCTTTGACACCGAGGAGAGACTGCTAGGCCCAAGTGCTGACCACCAAATTTTCCTCCCTAGAATGAGCTTTCGTCATCCTGAACGCCACTATGCAATTTGGTGTATTCCACTGTCAACCCAGCGCTGGTCACAAAATAATAACCTCAGTTCAGCTTAGCTGAACAACCATCACACACAGTTGCCACGACACATCGTCAGATTTACAATACATAACAAAAATAACGAGGACAAGAAAATGAAGTTGAAACCAAAGATAACGCAAAGAAAACGGGAGCAAATGAGAATTAACCGCTAGATACAAGAAAACAAATGCAGATAGTCAATGACTGCGTATTGTTTGTCTGACGTGAATAAGCAGAAATTTAATCCCCGTTTCCTAGGTATTGCTGGTAAATGGATGTAAGTGGAAAAGGCGATGGTTACCCACCCCGGCGGTGTTAACTGCTTCGCATCAGTCAACGAACTGTGGAATCACATCCAAGACCAAACTACGGCAAACCACCGGGGGAGCAAACTGTAGGCAGCGCGATTAGTTTAACGACAACAGTGAGAGCAATGACGCATTGGTGTCGCAGAATGCATCATTCGCTGCACATGTAGATGACGTGACGGCTCCGACACGGAGAGCAAGCACCACAAACTTCGACGGCGAATGACGCGAGAGCTCTGTCGCATCAAGAATGGAAAGTGGACGGAGAAGGCGAAGCAGATGGAATGCTACGCCGAACGCCGCCAACACAAGGAATTCTTTGACTCCTTGAAGGCAGTGTATGGAACGGGATTGGAGGCGCGGAAGACGCTGATCAATGGTAGCTCAAACGCTACCTGCACACAGAGTGCAGACAAAATGCAGATCTGGCGAATTGACTGTCTCTTGAACAACCGTTCAGCGATCGACTGGCCTACCTTGAACGGCCTCAAGCAGCACGACGTGAAGGCAAGTCTGGCGGACACGCCGACAATGGATGAGACGCAGAGAGTACTTGCTCAGCTGCGAAACGGCAAGTGTGCCGGTGCCGACGGGATCCCGCCTGAAGTATTGAAACACGGCGGACCCACATTGGTGTAATGCATGCGGATTGAGGACAAAATGCCTCCTGATCTGAAAGATTCCCTTGTGTCATTACTGAACAAGGGCAAGGAAGCAAGCAATGTTGTACGAATGATCATGGTATCAAGGTGCTGAGTTGTGTGGGCAAAGTGATTGCCCGAATCCTGCTCAACCCCCTCGTCAGTCAGGTTGAGGAACCGAACGTGGCGGAAGAGCAAGGTACATTCCGTTCGCGCCGCAGTACCATCAATATGGTGTTTGTGCCTCGTCAGTTGCAGGAGAAGTGCAGAGAACAACACCAGCCGTTGTACTCGCTATCGTTGATACGGTGAACCGCGAGGCATTGTGGCTGGTGTTGGGTAAGTTTGGTTATCCGAGTAAGTTTGTAAGTTTAAGTGAATGTCTGCAGTGATATGCGGGCGAGCGCACAGCTGAGTGGACAGACCACGGATGACTTTGCAGTTGTCACTGGTGAGAAGCAAGGCTGTGTCTTAGCTCCTGCCCTGTTTAATATTTACCTTCATGCAATGATGTCTTGTGCTTTTGATGCGGCTTGTGCTTATGGTGTCCGTGTGGAGCACAGTTCTGATGGTGGGTTGCTGAACATCCGTCGTTTCGGTGCGAGAACCCTTGCCTGTAAGACAACTATCCGTAGGTTGCTGTTCGCAGACGACTGTGCGTTGTTTGCATACAGAGCGGATGAGTTGCAGCACATGACTAGTGCTTTGGCTACGACAGCGGTCAAATTCGGGCTCACCACCAACACAAGCAAAACTGTCTGTCTTTTCGGCCTTCACCGGAGGTGCAACCTGCAATGGTGCCGCGAATCAGCATTGGTGATTACGTATTGGAAATCTCCTCCCGCTTCAGCTACCTTGGGAGTGTGATGTCGACTGACCAAACAACTACACAGTGAGCTTCGCATATGCGTCCCGAAGGCATTGGCGACATTCGGGAAACTAGAGTACCGAGTGTGTTCTTACCGTTGGCACGAAGCTGATGGTCTACAAATCAATGGTGATGTCTGTTCTATAAGTCAGCGAAACGTGCACGATGTACCGGCAAGATGTGCGATATCTCGAGTAGTTCCAATTACAATGTTTGCGACGGATTCTGCGCATCGGTTGGTGCGACAGAGTTGCTGACACGGAAGTGTTGCGCCGAAGTGGAATGTATGCAGTGGACTGCATACTTTTGCTGAGACACCTAAGGTGGCTCGGTCATGTGAGCCGTATGAATCCGACACGGATACCGAAACAACTATCATATGGTCAGCTGAGTTTGAGGAAGCGGTATGTGGGGGGACCGAAGCTTCGTTACCAGGACATGATCAAAGTGAGCCTCTCGCGTTTTGATTTTGATTATAGGTCAAAGGAATCAAAAGCGGTTGATCGCCGTGCATGGCGCGAGCTGATCACGAAGGCAGTTGCCGAGGTGCAAGAG